ATTTATATGTAGGTAAAAATAAATGATGCGTTGCACAAATGTTTATACTTAACATTTATTCTAAATTCGATACAGCGGTCTCGCTATACCCATGATAGGAAAAGAGGGAGAGAGAGAGAGAGAAGGCGAAAAAGGGAACTGGATCCTGCGAGAGGAGACAGCAGCTCCCTTCTTCTATGCGCGCGCGCGCGCTTTCACGCCGCACTCTCGGCCGCGTTTTCTCGCTCGCTGACGCATAAGAATTAGAATGCCGGGGCTTGACGGCATTTGCATCGCAACTCGCGTCCGCTCGCAGCCTTTGCACTTGCAACTTTCTTGGAGATACTCACTGCCGGGGTTGAGTAACGATCGTCTTTGCGAACAACGGGTACAGTCCCGGCCAGAACAAGGTTGCAAAGGGGCAAACCGAAAAGGGCGACGAAAGAGATCTCCGAAGGAGAAACACATCGAGGACGCAATTGATCGATGGGGGAAAAATGTTACATTATTGTGAATGCGGCACGCGTCGGCACTTTCGTCACATCTCTCTTCTTCACGCGATAATATAATTAATTACGATATAATATAATTAATTACAATATATAATTTCACGTGTTCGCGCTCTTTCCGCTCATTTTTCCGTAATATTTCGAAATAAATACGTATATGTAAATATATTTTACGCGAGACGAGATGTGTCCTCCATGAACTCGAAGTGAGCCAATATCGATACGATGTAAACAGATTTTAATTCTCTTTATCACCGACATTGTTCCTCGTTCTATCATGTAGAAACTTTACGATCCTAATTATAACGTGTCAAAGCTGATCAAGGTCTAGATTGATCGAAGCCTGACTGACTGTTTCACGCGCGATATCGAACGAGCAACAATGTCATTGTTATTTACATAATTTGTTATATGTTACTTACATAATGTGATTTACATAATTTATGTAAATTGGAAAAGAGAGATCAGCAGCCGCGAGGATTTGCTGCTAACAATAAGAGAACGACGACGCGGTGGTTGCTCTTGCTAGAACCGTTACCGGGATGCAAAGTACGAATCGAGTATACGGAAATCGTCGGAATGACCCCGACGTGCAGATATACAAACACATGCCGATGTGTGCTTGTGCCGATATCTGTGTTACCAAACAAGGGACGAGCATACGAAATATAATGATATAATTCACGAAACTTATTGAACGATTATTATCGACCGGGACATTATGTACTGTATTTGAAACATGCGATATATAATCGATTCGAACAATTGTTACTCTGGAATGTCCAAGCTTTTACAATTAACTGGACGTATAAATTTTTAAAATACGATTTTCGATACAAAAAAATTTTGCAACGATTTTATTTGAAAACACGCGCCTAAAAAATGTTATACGTTTTATACATAATGACATGGGATAAATAAAATTATCGACGAAACTGTACAAACTAATAATAAACTATTACGAAAGAAAACGAAGAAAACGAGAAGGGAAACAATGTTCTGTCATCAAATGTACTTGCCGCTTTCGCGATTGTTATTGCCATCGACGCAGCGACGACTGTGTATCAGCTCTCGGAACACGTATGAAATTCCACGAAGAAGAATGCGATATCAACACCGCGGGACAGTATAAGCGAGCTTCTCTGGCCTTGCAAAAAAAAAAAGGCATTCACCGGAATGAACTGAAAAGTTTATTTCAACGCCGTGAAAACTTGCAAAAACTGGAGCAACCGCCTGGCGTGCGCGGAGGATGTCCCGTTAAATTAAATTAGAAATGAAAGATACGTGTGTGCAAGAGCAGAAAACTTATTACGTACAAATGCGAGAAATATTCGCGCCTGAGAGAAATGCATGTAAAACGCTCTCATTTCACGAGCGGGATATTTAAAAAATAAATGCGACCTTACATGTCAATATTAAAGACGGTAAATTTTGTAAAAAATTATATAATTTAGCAACGCGTGTCTAAAGGTCTATTTCGCAAGTCTGTACCTTTCGAATTGTTATTCTGTATCTGTCAAAAGCTCGTAAATACACGCTTCAACAATTCGCAATTGCCCGAATACTTGAAATTACGCGAAAGAAACGGTTCTTCTCATCGCGCAGAAATTCCGCTTTCTCTGTTTGATAGAAAAAAAAAAAACTGATCGCTTTCACTAAATTTCGGTAAACAATACCGGGAGAGAGAAAACTCGCAAAACGATATATTAATACGTACTCACCGGCAATCGGGACGCACTTCCTCGTGTTCCTGCTACTTGTCCTCGCGATGACGATTCTCACTTTTCAACCCTTTCGAGGAAGCGGCGAGGCTCGCTGATGGCGCGCGGCGACCGGGCAATACATCGTCGACGATGCGTCGTCGTCGGCGATAGTTCCAAGTGTCAGTTCCGGGTGAAGAGAGACGATAGAGAAGAGAGACGGAGAGTGGGAGAGTCAGCTGGTCGGCGAGGGGGTTAAGGCGCGCGCGTATGTAATATGTTAACTCGCCGCGAGAAATGGAGAGAAAGAGATAGATAGTGAGACGCCGCGGTCGCGCATCAGCCGGTAAAACACGCGGCGACGATTAAACACGGCCGAGTATTATACGAGTACTAATCACGCTACGCGGGGATCTCTCTCGTCCGTACGCTGCCAGCAGCGACGAAAGGGCGATTGAAGAGAACCGGCAGCGATCGCCCGGCGATTGCGAGATGACGATTGTCGGTCGCTCGTGGCCCCTCGTAGAAAATTTCGGCGATCGCTGGCGCCTCCTCGCGGAAGCGACGACATCTCCGCAACCCCTGCCAGTGAACCAACGAGTTGCGCTGCGATTGCCGGTAACTGCGACGTAAGGAGAGGAGGGGGGAAGGCGAGTGCGTAGGATTCAAGCAGAGCTTCCAAAACAGGGATGAATCTAGTAAATCCCGTGCCTGCGATCGAGGATCGCGCAATGTCATCGTCCAATCTTCCAAAAAATTGTGCGTTTATATCGTAAATATTTCGTATTCTGTGTGCGAACTGTAAGAGAGATGTAAATCAAGTTAGTTGGATTGATATAAAAAAGTAAACACCTTGAACAATTCGCGTTTGCCCGAATGCTTCAAGTAGACATGTTAAAAGATATTTATATGTAGGTAAAAATAAATGATGCGTTGCATAAATGTTTATACTTAACATTTATTCTAAATTCGATACAGCGGTCTCGCTATACCCATGATGTAAGGTTTGAACAACACATCTCGAGAAATATACAAAACACGTTTTTCCGATTCTTCCCGCGTTGATAACAGGTATTACACGCGTGTGCATCCATCATAAATAATTTATTTGACTACAGATATCGGAATAGTAATTAACCAACAACGAGTAGACTGCTCTCTGGGAATTCATACGGTGGTACTTCAAGGTTTAGCGGGGCCGGTCCTTTTCTAATTCTACCACTGGCGTCGTAGTGAGAACCGTGGCACGGGCAGTAGTAACCGCCGAAATCTCCCGCGTTTGCGATGGGCACGCATCCCAAGTGCGTGCAAACGCCTATAACGACGAGCCACTTAGGATCCTTCACGCGAGCGCTATCTTCCTCCGGATCGCGGAGAATCGCGACGTCCACCTTAGATTCGGTCGCGATTTCTGAGTCACTTCTGGAAATTTTCGCGAGACGCGCATCGAGAGACGAGATAAACGCGTTTCTTATGCAAATTCGCTAAGTATAATAAAAGATATTCTCATAATATAATACGCACCTATGTCGCACGAACAGAGGCTTTCCGCGCCATTTGAAGACAGCGCTCTTACCCTCGGGAATAGTGTCGAGCTTTATCTCGACTTTTGACATAGCGAGTACATCAGCTGAAGCACTTAACACTCCGACGAGATCCTGTACTATTGTCTTCGCGCCATAGACACACGCTACAGAAGATCCTGGATACGTCAAAATTGGAAATGAATTATGAATTACGTCATTGCTTGAGATTTAAATAAATTGTATCAGATATTCTTTATATACTTGCCAGCTCCTATAATATAAGACACCGCCTTTCGAGATGATGCACTCTCCTTTGACTTTACAAATGGATCTTTTACTTCATCTCTACGATAATCTGTAAAATCTGGCCATTGAATGTCAGTATGCGCCAAACGCCGCTGATGTATTTGCGTGCTAACTGTAACGATACAATACAAATCATGTCATCGCTGTTACACTCCAAGGCTTACAGAAGCTTTATCAGGATCTTCTATAGATATAATAGTACAAGTATTAAAACTATTACGATTTAGTATATCGTTAACAGACTATTTGGGGGTAATTACACATGTAAGCTCAACAGAGAGTAACAATCTGCAAAGTACGTATATTGATTATATAATCGCGAAACGTCTCAATTTCTCGGGAAAGAACGCGGGTTCTCGTAGAATACTCGCAGAAGGGATCTTTGATACGGACGCACCTGCGACCCCCGAGCTTATGCATGTAGGTCCGGTAAGGAGATCCTGATAGAGAGTCTGTCCGAGGGCCCGTTTGATGGTAGATGGAACGGTAACCTTCGGCTTGTGAACTTTACCGGTCGCCGCTACGGGTACTCCTCCATTCGAGACGACCGTCGCCGTCGCTCGCAGAAACGGCGAGATGGTCGTCGACTTGGCGATCACGTTCATTTTTACGGGAATCACACGTAAGAATGAACGAAACGACAGTTTTCACAATCACGAAACGAAACGTTTCTACACTACTACGCCACTAAGCACTAAATTTTCCGAACAGCAACGCCATCACGTCCATTTCTAGAAGCTGGAAATAATTAATACCGACCACTGTGTAATGTCGGTAAAGTCAATCGTGGCTAAATAATTTCAGCTGTGAAAAAATGAATGTGATGGCGCTCGTTGTGCGGGATATTTAATATATAATTATTTTGTCTCTTTGATTTTTGAATTATATTTATTTCCGAGAAATTGTGTCTATTTTCAAAAATTTATTGCGTCTTCTATATTTCAACTAGAAAAAAAAAAAGTTACCTTGAAAACGCCGGTATGGCCGCTCTTAGAGTCTTCTCTCTTTACATATCTAGCAGTGTAACGAGATGATCTTGGCTGAATGATGTCCGCGGCGTCGCGGAGATGACCATCTCAATCGCCGGCGAGTGACGTCTGACGTCGAGTATCAAAATGTGATTGACAATCGCGCGGTTTCGAAGCAGTCGCGACGAGCCTGTACCTCATTCCTTCTTCCATCTCTGAGAGTCGAGTTTGCGGAGAGATGTCCGGCGATAAATCGCGCGAAAGTCCGGGATCAATGGCGGTCGCGGCGAATTCCTTCGACGCCTGGCTCAGCAAGAAGTTGCAGGCCCTCAACACGGACGAGGGTGTCTTCGGTACGTACATCAAGAGCATCCTCGAGAGCGACGAGTCCGAGGACGAGAAGACTGAGGCGCTTGAAAGCATACTCGCGGGCATAACGGTAAGTGGGCATTACTCCCGATGATTTTGAGGTTAAAATGCGCGCGGTCGCATCGTCAGCCGGTCGAAAATAGACGCGAGGTCATCCCGAAAGTACGTGTTTTTGCGTTGCACGCGCACCTCTCCAGCAATCATGATTCACGCGCGCGTATTTCGCCATTAATCTATTTTGCGGAATAATTGTCCTTAGAAAAGTAAACACTCATCAGAGAAAGTAAGAAATTCTAATAAAAATAAAGATTGAAAAGATTGATACACAATACATGATTTTTCAATAAAATTTTATAACTTATTCTATGTAACTTTCAAACTTAATGGCTCTTTCTCTTTTGGATACTTCAAGAAAGTATTGTTGCTTTTATACGCTTACATAAGATTGTGCAATGTCTGTTGCAATATAGAGCTTTGTTTTGTTACAGGAGGATAATATCAGTAAACATGTAGCAGAAATCTTAAGCGCGTGGGCAGAGTGGTTGCCAGCTAAAGATTTAACTACGGCATCTGCACCAACAGAAGATGTCGATGTTAGATTAGCTAAGATGTTGGAATCACAGAGTCTGCCTACAACAACACAGAGGAGCTATACAGAGGAAGAGAGACGAATACGGGAAGCTATACTAGCGCAATATAGTCAAATGTCTGATGAAGATAATAGCGAAGGAGATGGGGAAGAAGAAGGAGCCGGCGGTGGAGATTGTGGAATTGAAAAAAATTTAAATGCAGCCACTATTGTACAACAAGAAAGAGAAAAAAGAGAAAAGGCCAAGCTTGAAAGCCAAAAAAAGAAAGAGAAAGATAAAGAAGACAGGTAAGATAATGATTACAGCATTGATTCTGGTAAACGTGTGCATGTGTCTATTATATATATCATTAAAATTGTAAAATTTAATTTAATATTTTTTAAAATATTTTTCAGAGAAAAACAAAAACAATTGAAAGAAGAAAAAAAAGAGAAAAGAAAAACTCAAAAAGGAGAGAGACGAAGGTAGCATCGAAACAAAAGCAATGCAAAATTTACCTCAAATTACCAAATACATATATGCTGCTGTATTCGTATACATCTATCCTTATTGTCGTGTATGCAACGATCTCTGACAATTATTTAAACCAGTCAACCATCTTATATTTTCATTAAAAGAATATATGTGTGTAGTATCCATGTCGTTAGAAGATGAATTTGTAGACTCAATATGAATGCATCACAAAAGGATATCTTCTACGATATCCTTCATAATGTTGGATCATCCTGTGCCTTCTGTCTAAAACATCGTCCCCTTCCTCGAGAGGTTAGTTACTTATACTCATCCTTTTTTATCCTTTTTAACATAATTTTATAATTTATATTCAGAACTTCTCTCTGTGTGTATAATATTGTTTGCTATTAAAATGTAATAATTATTAAATACTATTAATTTAAAAGCAAAACAATCCATGTTTACTCGACAACAGTTCTGAATATAAATGTAATTTTCATCTCTTGATACGCTTAGCACATTGCGTTTTATTTTATTATACGAATATGTTAAATAAACTATTTAAATCGTCGATGATATTTGATATTGAATACTCTGTAGAATATATATCCAATACTATTCAAGTTCTCAATACTGTATACAATAGGAAATATAAAAATTCTGTAAGGAATATAATAGCGGGGATATTTGCGAGACGTGCTCTCGTTGCGTTTGTGTATATATTTTTTTTTATTAGTATATATTTACACACAAGATGATATACCGAGTCGAAACTGAGTCATCTTGGTATTGCATTAATAATGAAAGACAAACGCAGTAAGATAAAAACAAACAAACAAATGATACAAAAGATGATGATGCTTCAGTATCGTATCATTACATACATATACTATAATGTCAATTATAATAATCATTTATTATTTAGCAATTCTCTCGTTTACTATAGTTAAGTGTGGGCAAAAATTGACGAACTCGCACTTATTACGTTTATAACAAAACATCCGCAGTTGAACGTCAAATTACAAATCACTATGAACCCCGCGCTCCCATTTATCAGAGTAGTTTCTTCTCTACCTCCCTCCCCCCTTCCCTTAGATAATTCTATTTCCGCGCGGATCCGCGTACCGAGATCTCTTCCGCCTGTACGGGTGGAAACGCAGAGCAACTTTCGTCGCGTGCCGGCGTTTAATAAAATCTAAACGATCCTTTGTCACACGATTTCCATCTTGGAATCGTCTCACGCATCGACGAAAGCTTTACGAACGAGATACGCTCTCGTTCGTATGGTCTACCTCGCGCATCTATCATCTAATGAAAACTTACTAATTCGTAAATCTAACGTAAACTCGTAACTCTATGATTGTCCTACTGGAGGATGATCTACGAGGCCGTCGCGACGATGACTTTCCACGATGAACATTCGGGATCCTCTTGTCGGACGCGTTATCCGTCGCGGGAAGAGGAAAAGAGTTACGCACGCACGCACGCATTATACTAATTTAATTCGATAGCGTCTAATCGCGTCGTTAAAACTCGTTAATTAGTTACACACTGACTTAACAGATATACGCCGCGTGGAGCATCCCTTTACTGAAATCGGAGAAAATGTTTTATCTCTCTCTCTCACATAACTCTTTCTTTCTATCATATTCAAGCGAAATGTGTGTATACGTTCGGAGCACGTTCGTTACATCCTGGACTAGAAAAAGCGATTGCCTCTCTTTTCCGTCCGCGCCATGTGGATAAATCATCCCGAAATACGACAATACGAGTATACCTTTGCAAATAATGAATTGATGACCAGATGCAAAGTGAAGTAACTTTTAGTCGACGAACACGAATTTTCGCGGATCGCCTCCGATTCGCTGTTTCTCGGATGATATTGACACATGCTTATGCTTTGTCTTTTTCGTTTCTTTTTCATTTTTTTTTTTTTTTTTTTTTTAATTTTTTTTTTTTTAATTTGTTTTCGCTAAAGTCGGTTAACTTCAATTGCAGCTTATATTGACTTTTTGTCTCTTCCGGGAGACGAAGATTTGGTTGTGTCCAAGTTGACCGACACTCTACAAAACATAAAAACATTAGCGCGTTTTTTACTACACGAACATACTTCTCTTATGTTTCTTTAGACGCGACACATGCGTGCCGAGTATGTGGGTCAGTACGTGTGATGATACATATTACGCAGGTTACACAACGTCTCTTTTATACACATACATATAATTTGATCCCGCTGTATACAATAGTGAACACAACTAAAAACTTAAGACTGTACAATCGAACAGTGTTTTGGGGGGAGACTCCGTAGATTTTTTTTAATATTTTTTGCTCTAATCTGATTTCGCTAAAGTCGGTTAACTTCAATTGCAGCTTATATTGACTTTTTGTCTCTTCCGGGAGACGAAGATTTGGTTGTGTCCAAGTTGACCGACACTCTACAAAACATAAAAACATTAGCGCGTTTTTTACTACACGAACATACTTCTCTTATGTTTCTTTAGACGCGACATATGCGTGCCGAGTATGTGGGTCAGTACGTGTGATGATACATATTACGCAGGTTACACAACGTCTCTTTTATACACATACATATAATTTGATCCCGCTGTATACAATAGTGAACACAACTAAAAACTTAAGACTGTACAATTGAACAGTGTTTTGGGGGGAGACTCCGTAGATGACAAATTCGCGTGTGTTTTCTTCGGTCGCGTCTAATTATATTCTTTATGTATTCTAGACTTAACTTGTTTCGCTTTTGTATGATTTTTTTTTCTTCACGTGCAATGGTATATATTTATATAATAGATATATGCATAATCGCGTATGTGTCACACTCTCTCTCCCTCTCGGATGTTCGCTCCTGTTAATTCCGGAGACGAGTCTCCAACGTAGACACGCACGCACGTATCGTCGTCGTATCTTTATTTTATACCCAATTTGATACACATCTCGTACTCTATAGAAATTGTCGCCTTCATAGACGCTCGTCAATTCTTTCTTTCCTTCTTTTTCTTTTTGCCTGGAGTAATCGAACGAAGTGCTCGCCCGAGATTTCATGATGATCGATGCGCTCACTCGAGAGCGACTACTACGAACCCGCACACAAATCGTGAGAATCATGTGTGTAATACGTAATATTATATATAATATATATGTATATATGCGCTATATATATATACTACTTCGTCAGTCGTTCGTTCGGGCAGATTCGCCATACGAATATTTATATATGTAATTCTTAATGTAATCTCCGCTCGTCTTTATTGGCCATTCGCCGATGATGTCGCGCGATACCACTATGATTGGTACGATATTAGTTGTCCTAAAGTTCTCGGGCTAAATGGACTTTGCGTGACAAGCCCGATTTATTCGTTTCGATTTATTAGCGTGAGACGTTCGAAAACTTACCGCGAATCAAACGTTTCATAAAAGGAACTGAACGAGTTCGCTAAAATGAAATGAAGATGAAGCGGTATCGATTTGCGAAACGAATTATTAGGAACAATTTCGATTTCCGTTTGTTAGCAATATAAAATAATGATTCGTTTCAGTCTCTTGCACGTGATCGTAATTTACGAATATCGATGCATTCATGTATCTTTGCTTTTATATATACAACCATTTTTGGCCGTAGTAATATATAAAACACGTGACAATTTAACAGGATTTTCAACGCTATCATACGATACAATGAAACCTTTAAGTCTTAATCGAGAGAAGCATAAAAAAACGGAAAATAAATCATTCCGAGATGAAAGCTTAAAAGCAGCAAACGGTGGAGTGACGCGTCTCACGTTTTTAATCATAACGATATCATTATTACGAGTTTGAGAATCTTGCATTCACTTTACGAAACTTTAGAATGGGTACGGGCACATCGAACAATTACCATGTCTAAAAGTAGCCTAATGTTATGATATATTCTATACAATATAATTTTTCGTCAAATCCTCTGCATATCGCGAAACATTCGTGATTTCGAAATGGCGCGTCAAATCACAAATCGCTAATCAATGCCAGAAAGCTACGGGTAATATGTAAATAAGTAGTAAAGCGCGAAGGCGGCGGAGAGGCGTCGTCTCGCGGGATGCGTTAATCGATTTAATAGATTCCGATGTAATAAAGTGCGTGTTACAATATCGTACAGACGATTGATAACAACAGAAGAGAGGTTAAAT